CACGATCTGCCTAACTTCACATTCACAGCTTCTCCTTAGAATGGCTTATTGATGTTCTTCAAGCCTGATTTCTCTGAACCCAGGAACTAAAATGATTAAACGGACACTTTCACGCTTTGGTCACATTATGAGAAGAGAAGAGTCGCTGGAAAAGACAATCATGCTGCGAAAAGTTGAAGGCGGCAGGGAAAAGAGGCAGACCCAATAGGAGATGGATGGACTCCGTCAAGGAAGCCCCAGCCCTAGGGTTGCCAAGTCTTACCTGCTGCTGGAGCGGGGGGCTCCCGGCTCGTTCCTGGAGTGTGTGCGTGTGCACAAAGCGCGCGTGCGCCGCAACCACGTCACCCGGAAGTGACACGACCACGCCGGGCATGCTGGGGGCGGGGCCACGACCATCCGAGGAAAAACCATAGAGTTTTCCCTCGGATGACCGTGGCCCCGCCCCCAGCGTGCCCGGCATGGTCGTGTCACTTCCGGGTGACGTGCACGTCGGGTGCTTTGGGGGGTGGGGTTCCCCCCAGGGCCCGATCCGCCGGTGGCGGGGAACGGGCCTCTGGGGCGGGGATTTCCCCGCCCCCCGGGGGGACTTGGCAAGCCTACCCAGCCCCCAGTCTGCAAGACCTGAGCACGGCTGTTAATTGACAGGGTATTGTGGAGGATATGAATTCAATAGGGTCACCATAAGTCGGAAGTCGGGTTGCCAGCTCTGGGTTGGGAAATACCTGGAGATTTGGGGTGTGGAGCCGGCGGAAGGTGGGGTTTGGGGAGGGACCTCAGCTGGGAAGAATGCCATAGAGAGTCCACCTTCCAAAGCAGCCATTTTCTCCAAGGGGACTGACCTCTGATGTCTGGAGATCAGTTGTAATAGTGGGAGATCACCAGGCCCCACCTGGAGGTTGGCAACTCTAGTCGGAATTGGCTTGCTGGCACTTGACACACAAGGTCTTCCCAAGAGAACGATCCCAAGTCTGGATGGTTCTGTTGCCGTTGCCTAGTGAAAGCTTCTTTCTTTCTCTCTCTTTTTCTCTCTCCTCTCAGCCGCCATCCTGAGTTCTGGCTTCCTGGTCGCCCAGGCCCAGGAGATTCCTATTCTTATTGCAGTGGAACCATCACAGCCATTGGAAGGACAGGACGTCACTCTGATTCCAGGAGGGATATCGAACTTTGTTTTATGCAGCTGGTATCGAGGAGAAGACGCTGAAGCAAATCGGATCTTTACATATTACCCAACATCACCTCCTGTGCAGCAGAATGGTACAGCCTTTACTGGACGGGAGACTGGAGGTTCAGACTGTTCCCTGCACATCAGAAGTCTGGTGCGGAACGACTCTGGAGTCTATATAGTGTCAAAGGCTGTGCCTACTGCTCCTGAAAGGGGGCGTGTGCGTATGGAAGTCTTAGGTATGGTTTGTTCACTGTTTATTATAGCTCATATATTTAACCACTTCAGTCATTCAGAGCAATTTCTCCTGCTCAGCCAAAGGAAGGAAGGAGGCCAGATAAACCTGATATATGCACAAACATTTCTAAGAATAATTCCCCTAAAGGGGTCCATTTCCTCATCTACTGAGATATGGGAGATTCCCGATGAATTAATATGTTCCCATTGCATTCACAGTCTATAACAGGCATATGAACGATTCAATGACTCCTTAAACCATGCATCAATACACAGAATTAGTAGCTGAAAGGGTGGGGTTTCTCCTAGCATTCATTGCTGGTTTATATATAAAACGGGAATTCTAATCTGCATGCAGGATCGTGAGAGTGAAACCCGAAAGAATTCGTTTTTCCAGATGAATGGCCCTTCCTGTGTGTAGTGGGGTAGCCGATATGGGCTGTGAGGCTTATTCTCACAAAAGCATAAATTGATGTCCGAGATGCAAAGGAACATCGAAGCGAGTGTGTATATGATCGGTGACAGAAGAACGTGGGCAGTGTAGATCTTTGTGAAGTATACCATGCGTAGAAGCCTCCACATTGTTGCCAAATCATGCACCCTGATTTTATTTTTATTTTCCCCTCTGGAATGAATCTCTGTGTGGCTGAAAATCCTGCCCTGGAACCAGAGAGGGCCAATTCACACATCCCTATGATGTCATGCGGTACAGATATCTGTGCGTACAATGAACTTTGAGTCTACAGTGAAATGATCACATTTCATGCCCAAATGGCCAAATATTCTGCAACAAACAGAAATCCGGTAATTTGGAAATGGGGCAAATCATCTTATGGACAGTGGCCTCACAAGAGAGTCGAAGCTTTCCAAATACTCTATTTAGCATCACTTGGAAAGAGATCATGCAAAGACCAATTCACACATCCACTGTGATAAATGTAGTGAGTTATGTGTTGATGTTGTTGTCCCCAATGTTGTGGAGCCAGTGGGCACTTTGGAATTCTGGGGGGAAGATGGCGGGTGCCACCACAAAATGGCTGCCATGGCGGGCAGCAGGGCTAATCACAAAATGGCTGCCGTGGATTGGCTCTTGGCTTTGAGGGAGAGATGCCATTTGGTTTCGGTTTCCAAAGAATGGGGCAGTTTTGTGCCCGCATGGCCACACCTTAAGATTGTCAAGTGCAGAGAATAAGGAAGTCTGGGTCTAGGACCCAGCCGTGGGTACACAGCTGTCTGAGACAAGCTTGGTTTGCAGTCAGGTGGTAGATAGCCATCCAAAACACCCTGTTGCCCTTCAGATTTTAGATATAAGTGGGTACCAGGAAATACATTGACGGGCAGCATGGTACCTATGGGTGCTATTTTGAGGACTGCTGTGCCACAGTCTTGAAAGTTTTCTGTGAATACTTTGGCACATACTACAAAGCTACCCCCAAAAGAGGTGTGAAATTGCCCGCTAAGCTGCAAATGATAGCTATGATGTAGCAGAGTTCCTTAGTCCAGTAGAGACAGTGGCAACTCTACTGTACTATAAGGCAGTCAATATATCGGACAGGAGTTTTGAGGAACGTTAAGGGTACATGCTTGGGAAATAGATTTGATCTCTGGAGTACAATCCACCAGAAAGTATCCCCACATCAGAATCATTGAAATGAGTGAGGGTTGTGCGAGAGAATGATCCCTATGAAAATCTTGATCATTTTTTAATGTTTGTATGGGAGAACCTCCCTGTCAGTTGAACCCTTATGTTGATTGATTGAAGAGTATTCCATTGGATTTTCTCCTTCAGGTCTTGACCTGACCTTGGGAAACAGAAGTTCTGTATTTATATCCTAAAGCGATCATAGTACAGTTTGCTGGCTTGGCAACTGAAGAGAGCATGGTTGAATGTGCGTGGATGTTTTGGTTGCACGCAACAGGTACCGATATCCTCGTGTGTACCTGCTGCAGCAGTCCATCATTCAACAATATTTTTCTGTCTTACTGCCTTGTTCTGGTTTTTGGTATTTGTATTGGCACAGTCTGGATTCTGACATGCAGAAAGTGTGTGTTTGGGAGTGAAATTTTGTGCAACCAGTGGAGATGTGGGGTATCTAAATAAGGTTTTAAAAAGTGATTTCAGAAGCT